AGAGAAGCTCTTTCCAGCTCTCTACATCCTTAAGCAAAACTTGGAAATGCAATGACCAAGTTCATTTTTACTCCTTTGCTTTACTGATGCAGTTTCCCCTTCTGTTTACTCTATTCTCTACTCAGGATATTTTAACTCCTCCTTCAAGTTCCTGCTCTGATATCCTCTGCTCAAACTCTCCTTATCCCTCCAAGACAAATTAGTCACTCCCTTATCAGTACTCCTTCAATACTCTCTTCATTCCATTTCGTTAAATAAATTTATTGAACACTTACATTGTGGTACTGATTCAGTGGTCCCCAAAGAAGTTCACTCTAGTAAAGAATACAGGCAAGTACACAAACAATGCAAGGAAAAAGACAGCAACAGGAAGAAAACCAATTTCAATTTGGGGTGGTTATGAAAAATATACAAGAAGATGTGATGTCTAACTACATACTTCTGGACCAAAGAAATCCTGGGAAGAAGGAAGGGTTCATAAGCATCTCAAATCACTAATGGACGAAATCAGTATGTTATTTTGGCTAGTATCTCCACTACTAGCCTGAAAGACACTTCAAGCAAAAACCATGTGTTATTCATCTTCATTAATAGAGGCAAGTGCTCATTTAATAATTGTTTACTGACTTGAATGACTAGCTTTTCTTCCTAACAGGAGCATTTTTTCCAGTATAAGCACACTGTAGAAAATAATTGCTTTAAGAATGATGACCTTGTCTTTCATAACCCCACACTCAAAAGCTAAATAAATAAAAAACAAAGTAATGAATATAATTCTATCTACAAAGATTATCTACAAAATACTCTTTCCAAATTAGTATTCCAATTTCCCCTGCTTATAAAAAATCATAAATAAGAACTAGGGGAAAATGTACTTTCAGAATTCATAACTATATAATTTATTTTTTAATATTTCATAAATATGCCAAACCTTTAACTCTACATCTAAGCTTAAAAGCCCATAATTTTGATGAATTAAAATACTGTTCTCTCCTACCTGGAAACAAAAAATATGTTACTGAAGTATTGCATCACATAAGAAATAATTATTATGGATGGTTATATCATTTATGCAAAAATGCAATACAAATGAAATTGTCAGTGTTTATAATCATGATGAAATCTCAGGACAAAAATGAAATATCGGTTGCTTATGTTCCAAACCTGCTACGTAATTCATTGGGGGAATAAGGAGGCAAAGAACAGTGCAAGGTAAAAATGTACGGCTCTTGTTGAACATTTATTAAGAATTTTAAGATAGTAAAAGCAGAGCATTAAACCAAGTATGATGCCCTCTAAGTATGAGGCCTAGTACAAATGAACGGGCCACACACCCGTGAACTTGGCCCTGTTTATAACAACCAGTATTAAGCATTGCAAATGTTGGAGGCATCCTTCTGATTTACAGTATAGGACTCTGATTTAACTTCATTGCTTAAGACCAGAATAGCCTTCCTTACTAGAAATTTCCTTAAGATCTTATGTTTTGACCTCATTTTTAAGTTGAGAGACGATGGAGAAGGAATAAAAACTGGTTCTGCTCACCGCCTCTGAACTTGAAACCCATGATACCTCAGTGGCTAGTCAAAGATATCACCATCTAACTTGAAATGTACAGGCTAATTCTATAGCAAACAATGTATTTGTTTTAAATAAAAACAAACAAAATGATCATTTTCCATGGTTCACAGACTTCTTTGGATTAAAATGTTTATATAGTTATAGTTCTAGAACTTCAATTTTTTTACAATTTTATTATTATTATAGTTGGAATTTATGGCTTAAACATTTCTAATATAGTGTTTGCATATATATAATTCAAAACTATAAAAATTATTTTTATACAATATATGATGAATATGAATAAGAAAAAAAGAAAAAACACTTAAGTAATGTGAAGCAAACTGCTTTTAAAGTTAATTTTGAGGAGAGAGAATAAAACTTGAGAATAACAACTAAATTATAAAAAGACAAAAATCACTCATAAAACTACTGAGAGCAGAGTAACAGTAAGAGTGGGTCCATGTCTACTGAAATAACAGCGAAAAAGAAGAAAACAAGTATAAGGAACCAGTTGAAAGACTTAGAAAACTAAAATTAACAGAATTCATCATGAAAGATTCAAGAGAGAAAGGCACAGGACCATTGGAGTTATTAGCTTGTACCATAGGAAACACATTCTTAAAATTTTCTCCAATCTTCTCCATGAGCAACTAGTGGGATTCAAGGGGGAAAAAAACTCTATAAAGGAGGTGGACTCCACCAATTCCTGTGGCCCCCAGGAACTTCACATTGTGTTGACAGTGCATACTTGAGCACTAATTTATCAACCACCTCAGCTCAACTCTTAAGTTCCTATTTGGTTTCACTCCAGGTAAGCCAGTGTTCATGTCTCCTCTCTTCCTAAAAGCTGTTGTTTCTCACTCTAGATTTTTGGCTATTTGGTTACCTGAAACCTCAGCTCTCCAATAGTTTTAAGACAACTCGTGAATTTGCAGTTTGCCCAGCTTTTATTTCATTCATTGTAAAGGTAGGAGAGAAGCTCTTTCCAGCTCTCTACATCCTTAAGCAAAACTTGGAAATGCAATGACCAAGTTCATTTTTACTCCTTTGCTTTACTGATGCAGTTTCCCCTTCTGTTTACTCTATTCTCTACTCAGGATATTTTAACTCCTCCTTCAAGTTCCTGCTCTGATATCCTCTGCTCAAACTCTCCTTATCCCTCCAAGACAAATTAGTCACTCCCTTATCAGTACTCCTTCAATACTCTCTTCATTCCATTTCGTTAAATAAATTTATTGAACACTTACATTGTGGTACTGATTCAGTGGTCCCCAAAGAAGTTCACTCTAGTAAAGAATACAGGCAAGTACACAAACAATGCAAGGAAAAAGACAGCAACAGGAAGAAAACCAATTTCAATTTGGGGTGGTTATGAAAAATATACAAGAAGATGTGATGTCTAACTACATACTTCTGGACCAAAGAAATCCTGGGAAGAAGGAAGGGTTCATAAGCATCTCAAATCACTAATGGACGAAATCAGTATGTTATTTTGGCTAGTATCTCCACTACTAGCCTGAAAGACACTTCAAGCAAAAACCATGTGTTATTCATCTTCATTAATAGAGGCAAGTGCTCATTTAATAATTGTTTACTGACTTGAATGACTAGCTTTTCTTCCTAACAGGAGCATTTTTTCCAGTATAAGCACACTGTAGAAAATAATTGCTTTAAGAATGATGACCTTGTCTTTCATAACCCCACACTCAAAAGCTAAATAAATAAAAAACAAAGTAATGAATATAATTCTATCTACAAAGATTATCTACAAAATACTCTTTCCAAATTAGTATTCCAATTTCCCCTGCTTATAAAAAATCATAAATAAGAACTAGGGGAAAATGTACTTTCAGAATTCATAACTATATAATTTATTTTTTAATATTTCATAAATATGCCAAACCTTTAACTCTACATCTAAGCTTAAAAGCCCATAATTTTGATGAATTAAAATACTGTTCTCTCCTACCTGGAAACAAAAAATATGTTACTGAAGTATTGCATCACATAAGAAATAATTATTATGGATGGTTATATCATTTATGCAAAAATGCAATACAAATGAAATTGTCAGTGTTTATAATCATGATGAAATCTCAGGACAAAAATGAAATATCGGTTGCTTATGTTCCAAACCTGCTACGTAATTCATTGGGGGAATAAGGAGGCAAAGAACAGTGCAAGGTAAAAATGTACGGCTCTTGTTGAACATTTATTAAGAATTTTAAGATAGTAAAAGCAGAGCATTAAACCAAGTATGATGCCCTCTAAGTATGAGGCCTAGTACAAATGAACGGGCCACACACCCGTGAACTTGGCCCTGTTTATAACAACCAGTATTAAGCATTGCAAATGTTGGAGGCATCCTTCTGATTTACAGTATAGGACTCTGATTTAACTTCATTGCTTAAGACCAGAATAGCCTTCCTTACTAGAAATTTCCTTAAGATCTTATGCTTTGACCTCATTTTTAAGTTGAGAGACGATGGAGAAGGAATAAAAACTGGTTCTGCTCACCGCCTCTGAACTTGAAACCCATGATACCTCAGTGGCTAGTCAAAGATATCACCATCTAACTTGAAATGTACAGGCTAATTCTATAGCAAACAATGTATTTGTTTTAAATAAAAACAAACAAAATGATCATTTTCCATGGTTCACAGACTTCTTTGGATTAAAATGTTTATATAGTTATAGTTCTAGAACTTCAATTTTTTTACAATTTTATTATTATTATAGTTGGAATTTATGGCTTAAACATTTCTAATATAGTGTTTGCATATATATAATTCAAAACTATAAAAATTATTTTTATACAATATATGATGAATATGAATAAGAAAAAAAGAAAAAACACTTAAGTAATGTGAAGCAAACTGCTTTTAAAGTTAATTTTGAGGAGAGAGAATAAAACTTGAGAATAACAACTAAATTATAAAAAGACAAAAATCACTCATAAAACTACTGAGAGCAGAGTAACAGTAAGAGTGGGTCCATGTCTACTGAAATAACAGCGAAAAAGAAGAAAACAAGTATAAGGAACCAGTTGAAAGACTTAGAAAACTAAAATTAACAGAATTCATCATGAAAGATTCAAGAGAGAAAGGCACAGGACCATTGGAGTTATTTAACAAGTTGTGGAGGAAAATTATAAGATAACATGCAGATTTGATATATAAAATGTGTTTTCCAGAAAAAATTGGAGTGTTTGTTTTTTAGAGAGATGCAAGACAAATATTTTCTATAGGCACTGTTTTAAAACCTCCACAAAACTGTCATTTTAAAAGGCTTACTTTTTATGAGAATTAATAAAATTCAAGTAAGCATAGCTTACAACATCGGGTGCTTAGCACAACACTAAACTTGAAAAGGAAGACACTAAACTTTTACAGCACAAACTCAATCCACAAAAGTTCTATAAAGTTATTTTTACTTACAATTGGCACTGGTCACCTTTTATTCCTTTAGTTGTGCAGAAACATTTTCCTGTGTGCATATGACAAATATTTGCATGGCCACTGCATGTACAAGCTGCAAGTCAAAAACAAAATGATGGCGTTTAATATTTTCTATCACAAACATGTGCACCAACATTTCAAGGAAAGTTTTATGACCTTATTTTTATATTATGTATTTCTTTCCTGCCATTCAAAAACTAGGTTTATCATGTAAGTTATTTTTAATTAAAGAGAAATAAATTCAATTATTTAAAATGGTTGTGAAATTCTTTAAAGTCTTTGAGGTATCCTGAAGCCTAATATGGATCCAGGCATTTATCTTACTCTTCTTTGGGCTTCTTTCCATTTTCTAATTTGGTATATCTGCTTAATGAAATGAGTTTCAAAGACCATGAGAGCTTAAGAATCAAAGAGCTTAGCTTTAAAATGTACATCTACAACCATTAGCCATGTGACCTTGGGCAATTTATTTAACCTCTCTATGCTTAGTTTCTTCATCTGCAAAAGGATAATGATAATACTTAACTCAGGATTGATGTGATAATTAAATGAGATGATACACTTTAATATATTTAACATATCTCAAGCACTTAATAAACACAACTATTCTATTACTATTACTACTTCCAACAATAATATATATTTATATATTAGATTTTTAAAAGTATGTCTGTTTGCCCAAATACCATCCTTTAACCTTCTGAGATCATTCTCAGATTTAGTATTTCAGAATACTAACTGAAACAAACAGTCCATGGTATAATAATTATACACAATTTGGCTCATATTAATTTGTTTCATTTTCTTTGCATTCTCTTGTTAAAGAGCAACATTCTGATTATTTAAAACACAAACTTCATACTTTATTGTGCCCAACATCCAATCAATTGGTAGGTTCTAGTGTCCACATTCACAATCTCTTATATCTGACCCCTTCTTTGCAAATGCCATCATTCAAGTATTGTCACTCACATTCTCTTACTGACATAAATACACTCACATATCTGATCTTTCCACTTTCAGCATTTCTAGGCTTCAATTCACTCTCCAATCCTGAGACATATTCTAAAGAGACAAGGCTGACCATGTCACTAACACTTTCAAAAACCTTTAATGAGAATAATTGTGTTCCTGCATACCTCCAGCCAGTTAAACCATTCTATAGATAAAAATGAAATTAACTGGTCTTTTCCTGATTTACATACACATATAAAAATAAGCTAATGAATCATTGCTTTTGATCATAATTTAAAATATTCTAGAACACTAAGCATCTTATTAATCATTTATGATTATTTACTTTGAAAAAATTGATAATTAAAGTAAATTCATATACCCCTACAAACATACAAAAAATAAGTTTCAGTATTAGGTAGATTTTTAAGAACCTGGCTTGTTTTTTTTTTTTTTGGAGGGGAGGTTGGTTTTTGCTAGAAGAAATTTCTACATAAAACTGTGAGTTTTTCTCCATAAGGAATATTTAAATAAATCAATGTGATTTCCTTTAAGAAAATTATAGAATTAACTATGGAAACTCAAGATGTAAGAATTATAGAAATGAAAGGCAAGATGTAACATTGCAACGAATAAAGGAAACTCTCATTGAGCAACAAAGGGACCCTAAGATCTATTGATAACATATAATTCATGAATACTGAATAAATATACCATGATATCTTTTAATATTAACTTGCAGAGTTTCACATCAGTACTATCTTGTATTCAGAACTTTACTAAAAAAAAGAAATGATGCACATTAATATTTAAACACTTGGATAAACTTTTTACTTATCCTTTATGGCAGCACAGGATAATAGCTATGCTTGCAGTTTCCTAAACTAATTATTCTATAGTATCTTTACTAATTTCTGAGACAAAAAAATTATGTTAAAAGACTTTTTAATGTAAGCTCATTTTGAGACAAGTCCCTCGTGCTGCCGGATTTCAGGCAAAAATGGCACAAATGTATTTTAAATTCAGTTGCTTATGATTTATACTTCATGAGAGTGCTGAAATTATTGTGCTATTTTCGGCACTTGAGGTTATCTTTTATGCTGAATAAGCACCTATGAAATCATCATACAGTGGCCCTTTGTTTGGCAAATTTGATATGATGACGATGTCATGGCCTAGACATACACCAGAGGGGTAGTATGTGGTCACATGATATTTGTTTCCCTATAATATAACGTTGCAATAGCAACTTATAACCAAAACTAAACAATAACAGGGAAGAAGATGTTATAAGGGTTACTCAAACAATCTGTGTATAATGAATATATGTTAGAAACATGAAACCCAAAAGTAATCAAAGGCAGTTCTTGTTTCAAAGTCAGTTTATGCGCCTCACTGCTTTTGTCGCTATGTCATTGCTGCGTGTCATATACATGTAACAATAACTCCTGGAGGTTAGGAGATCATGTCTATTTAGTTTCCTTGTATACTTCTAGCATAATTATACTTGACATTTAGCAGATATGCTACATATAAGATTTCAAATATAGTAAGAATTCTGGCAATTCTTACTATATTTGACAAATGTTCAAATAGCCACATGACTTAAAATTCTATTCTTCTAACTTAAACTTTTATTGACAACTCTAAGCCCAAATTTTCATCAATGTGTGGTTTATCAAAAGGTGAAAGAGAATATAGTTGTTTCTGTTTGATATAAATGAACATGAAATATTGATACCAATAACATCTTAGCAATTTCATTCTTCTCTAAAAAACCCCAGAATTATAATTGCTATGTATTAACCTGTTCTTAAGATAGTGTGATTTTTTTCTACTAGAAAGATGATAGGTTTCATAATTTAAAGTAGGCCTTTTGACTTACAGTGATTACTTTGTAAAAATGGTTAATCTCTGATCTATAATCACAACTCTGATTTTACATTCTGATTGAATGTTGAGTGAAATATTTAAAACAGCTTTTTTTTAATAGAAGAGTTTTAAGCATAAGTACTGAAAAATATTTCTCCAAATAAATTTTAACCCAACCCTACTGGAACTACATATTTAGTATCTTTTATTTACTTTGATAAAATAATAACTTTAGACATGTTTCATTTTCTTTGATAAAAGAATAACTAGTCATATTTCACTTTCTTACTCTAGCTAAATTTCTTGACCACCTTTAATGACTACCATTTAAGTACTTAAACCCTTTTAAATTGTGCTTTTTTAATGTGAAGTTTTCATTTATCTAAAACAGTAGAACAAAGTATCTCTGGGATATAGGCAAGAATGACACATTATTAGAACCTATTCACAAAGCAAACATCAATAACAAATAAAATACCAGGCTTTTTTTTCCCACATCCAAGTCCTACCACCAAAAATTACTAGTTCAAATTCTTAAATTCAAACTTGCTGAACTTTTATTGTATCTCTTTCTAAATCTGCATTGTTTTCAGTGAGATTGCCTTTTTAAAAATTGGCTTAAAAAGTCCTTAATTGAATCAAGTCATCTGAAAAAACATTGAGTATTCAGTATGTTAAAAATATGTGAAGTAGGTCAATAACAATGACAACATTTGTTATCTATATACAACTGTAATATTTCTGAAATACTTTCACACACATTACGTATTTAATCCTTGCACAATACGTATTATATTCATTTGATAGAGGAACAGCTTCAAATAAAAGAAAAAAGCCTGTCCACACTTCTACATCTAATAAATAACAGAGCTGAAAATTATATTCTAGGATTCTTTCAGCTTCTTGATAGAAGACATGTGTTTGTGTGTGGATGAACTTATGCACGTTTAGACAACATGTAACAGTACTGACCGCATATGCTTTTTAATTTCAATTATGTTATATAATACAAGTTCTTAGTGTTTGAAAGCTGAAGCTAACCTGAAAACATAAATAATAATTACCAATTCAGTAATACATAAATATAAGAACTAGGATTACAAGGTTTCATTATAAGTAAATTCATTGACATTACATGTTTAATAATCTAGAGAGAAAAAATGATTATCTTCGAAGATGCCAAAAAGTCTTTGACAAAAGTCAATGCCTATTCCTGATAAAATATTTGAGAGAATATAAATTGAGGGTACTTTCTTAGCATAACTGCACACACACACACACACACACATACACACACACACACACAGAGCCAATTATCTTGCTTAATAAGAAAACATTGGAAGCATTTCTTCTGCTAAGATAAGGAACAAGGCAAGTTTGCCCAATATGTCTATTTCTATTAACAATGTATTAGAGATATTAGCTAATATAATTATATAAGAAAAATTAATTAGTGCATAAGAACTAGAAAAAAAGAGTCAAACTATCTCTATTTGCAAATGATATGATAGGTGCCTGGAATCCCTAAAGTATCAGTGCTAAACTCAAACAACAAGGAATTCAGTAAGGTAACAAATAAAAAAATTAATACACAGAAAAAAATACCCTTCTTATAATAACCAGGTAAAGGACAGAAAATCTCGCTTAAAATTGCTATGGAGAAGATAAAATACTTAAGGACAAATTTTAATGAAAATTATGCAAAACCCATCAGAGGCATAATAGTAGTTGTGAATAAATGAAAAGACACACATTGGAAAAAATAACCAACATCAAAGATGTCAGTTATATCTGAACTAATTTATAAATCTAACCCAATATCAACAAAGACATCAATAAGTTTTTATAGAAATTGACAAATTGATAACAATCATATAAAAAAAATAAATGTACAAAAATAGCCAGGAAAACACTAAAAAAGAAAAGCTAAAAAAAAAAAGACCAGTATTACTAGACATTAGAATATTTATAAGCCCTCTATAATTAAAATCATGCTGTGATCATGGCACGTCAGTGACAAATAGATCAGCAGAGTAGAATAGAAAATCCATAAATAGAACCATATACAAATGAAACTTTAGAAAAAAGGTTGTATTTTGAATCATGGATTTTTAAAATAAATGTTTATGAGACAACTGGTAGAAAAAGATATATTTAATCCATACCTCATACCATAAACAAAATTAAACTTCAAATGCATTGGCGATCTAGATTAAAAAAGCAAAACGGTACAAGTAATAGAAGAAA